TCTTTCTCTGCAGTGTATAAACGGGGATTTGCAGGCTCAAAGCAAGAGTTACAACAACAAATTTATCATCATGAGTACGTGGCGCTCATCAATCCAGGCAGCGCTTCTGTGAAACGCTGTAGGCTATGCGTAAGCGCAGGTTTTGAGTTGGGGAGGGATTCATTTTCTAAAGTAGACTAGTGGGTCAATGACATATAAGAGTTTCCACAATAAAGAGAAGAAAAATCTTTTATGAATGTACTTTCAAATATGGCCTTGATAAGTTCTTAAAATGTACTGTTTGTATTCATGTTGATTTTACATGGTTTATTCAGTATTTAAAAAAAAGAAGTTTTAAATATATTTTTTAAGGGTATTTTATTTGTTTGTTTGTTTTGTATGTATGTATGTATGTATATTTATATATTCATGTTTATTTATGTGTGTGAAATACATGCATCATGAATTATTAATTCACAAATATTAGATTTGTATAGTCACACCACATTTAACATCTCGAACTAAACTTGTCTTGTTATAAAAAGGTCAGATTATCTGATATTTTATTTAAGAGACCTGTTAACCTTGGCACACTGTTTTGAGGGTCCATAGGGGTCCTTTTCCACATATTTTGCCTGTTCATTGGACCCCATAATTTGGTGGACAAAAGGTTTTCAGATAATAAGCAGTGAAGTTGTTTTGTTAAAGTATTGCATCACCTGACATGTTTTACTTTATGATGCAAGAACATATTAAAATGAATTTTAATTCAGAAAACAGTATTGTGCTTATCCTATAAGAGGCATGCTAATATCATTAGTAAATATACTGTGCAGCATGATGGCGAATTTTTGTAGGCCAACCCATAAATTAGCATCACACTGGTTCCCTTGACAAAACAGGTTCCCTTGATTTTTCCATTGGCTCTTGGATTATCACCGGATGTGTTAAAATGCTAACTCGTTTCCAAGTTTTGGCCTACAAACCTGCCTCGTCCATGCAGCACACATGTATTTTCATGTCATTAATGTCATGTCATTGACCCTAGTACCCTCTAACTCCATTAAAACAACATATGTAATTTCCTCACAACAGGATAGATTCCCGCACGAGTCAGTATCCTAGGTAAACCTGGTGCTAGCCTCCAAAATGCAGAGAAAAGGAAAGTAAATCCATGGAAAAGTTGAAAAGCTGGAGGGGTGTGGGAGCGTAAAGTACATCTGTCTTAGGAGCTAAATCTGTCAGCACCTTAGCCGCAGCCCACGGGATGCCCAGGATGGATGAGCGTATAAGCGGCCTGCCTCATCAAAGATGGATGCGGTGCCATGAGATTTTGGGATGATAAAAGTCCCACTGAGGTGCCTTTCCTTTTTTTCCAGTACGCTCCAGTTTCATCTTGATTGCAAATGCAATCGCCCGAGGCGTGATGTTCTTTGAAGAAGCTGAGAAACACGCACACAGACTTTGTTTACTATAATCAAAAAGGAAGTGTTTTTGATGAAATAACAGAATGCAGAAATAAACAGAATTTAGATATGCATGTATACTCATGTCGCCACAGAGTGAGTCAAAACACATATTGGAAGGCAGACGGGTGGAAAGAGTGCAGGGGACGCCTGAAGGCTGCGACTCCTGCTGCTGCTGGTGATCTTTAAGATAAAAACCATTTATCTGCTTGCCAGGGCTGTCAGAAGTCTGCTAATTAGCTTTACCATTCATCTCTCTCTCTCTCCTTCCTTCCTTCTGTCTCTGCTCGCCAGGGCTGTCAGAGGCCCTGCTAATTAGCTTTCCAATTCATCTCTCTTTCCTTCTTTTTGTCTATCTCACACTCTTTCCATTCCCTCGCTCCCACCCTCTTCATCACACTCTGTCTCTGTCTCCTTCACTCGCTGACCTTCTTTCTTCTGTTCCGCCAGTTGCTTTTGACTATTTTAGTATAATTGATTGACCCGCAGTGCGTATTTAAATTACTTGACAGATTATTTTATATGACTTTAATATGATCTAATGTTATGGTTTGGTGTTATGGATGCTGTATTGGGATCTTTTTTTGAAATTGTAAAGGGTAAAGATGGTTTGAATCAAGATCTCTGTTCTTCACCTATTCCGCCTGACAAAAACAGTGAGTTATAACTTGCATGAGCAAGAGTCTCAAAGCTCCCATGGTCAACAACATGGAAATAATGTATATAATTAATTCATGAATTTAATGTAAAAGGTTTTGAGATTCACTGCGCCTACAGTAAACACACAAGAAGTGTACAAATGTGGCAGATATTCAGTAAAATATAATAATACAGTCAAAAATTTGCTTATTTAACTTTTTTTTTTACATTTGATATTTCAAAATATATTTGACATTTTAAAATGTAACAATAAAATTAATTAAATAAAATGTAAAAAAAAAATTCAATAACAAATGAAATAAAAACATAAGTGAATTTAATGTAAAAGGCTTTGAGATTTACTTCATCTGCATTAGAGTAAAAATGAGGGCAATATTCAGCAAAATACAAGAACACAGCTAAAATGTGCATAAAAACTAAAATAAAATATTTAACTTACAATATTGTTTTTTAATGTTGTATAATATTTTAAAATGTATAAAAAAATAATAGCAATTTAATTAAAATGTTAAAAAATGAAGGAAACAAATTAAATTAAATGAAAACATAATCCTAAACCTTTTAAATGTCAGCCCAATCTATTTATTTGAATACTGATTCTACAATTTTCTTCCAATCCAAACCACTTGAGCGTGAGACAGTAGCTTGTGCTCCCATGAGATCACGTATTTCCTTCAATCTTGATAAAGCTATAAAAACCTATAACAGTAGTATAGTACAGCTCTACTCCTGCTGCCTGCTTGGCTGCTTTGCATTTACAAACAGGGCAGGCCTTTGCTAGTGGAATATTTATAGCATTGCATTAAGCGTGAAATCAAAGGTTTTAAGTGTACCATTGCAACATCGGCACTCCTCTGTTGAGGCCTGCCCAAAAATGCCTGCCCTTCGGCTGTTTGCAGAGCTGTGCTGTTTCCATACGTATCCAAGCTTCATTACACATTGACCTCTCTTATGTCAAAATCCAAGCTACTGGTTAACATGCAGCTGGAGGTGACAAGGGCAAAGTAAAGTTTACCTCATGGATCACGTATTTCCACATTTTAAAGGAAATATGTCAAGAGATGTGTTTGACCTCTGAAGGTCAAATCTCAGATAATGCTGCTGCCAACTTGTAAGGACTGTTGAATTGATCATGAAAACATGGAATGCATCAGTTCACGTGATCAAGCACGGCACAGCTGTCTAAGCAAAGGCATGTGAATGGAGATAAGAGCATTTGACAATGACATCAGTCTACGCTGCACTAGGAGGCTTATCTCATCGCCTTTGCAGTCCCACAGACCCCCATATAACTAACCAAGAGCTTGTGTTGTCTGGAGGCGCTTCAAATGCAAAAGTCAAAACAAGCTCTCAATGGAAAAAAAGACTGGAATCCTAATATTTTGCACCAGAGCTATTGTTTCATTTTTAAAAACAAAGCATGAAAACCATAAAACGACTTTGTTCTTTTATCAGAAAAGCAGCTTAGAATTTCTTATTCAATGATTTTCTTTTCTATGCTGCCCTCTTGTGGGTAGACATGAGAAACAAAGAAAAAGCTGGAAAAAATGGTAGACTTTGTAAATAGTTAGGTGCACATTAATTTGATGTAATTTCTTATCATAGTCCCCTCAGATGAATTAATGTTGAAAAGATGAACACTAAGTCTGTAAACAGGAAAGAATAAAGCTGTTCATTTGATTCATTTCCTGAAGAAACAAAAGCCACATAAAACATTCTGAATGAAAAGACAAAAACTTTATTTGACATGGAAAACAAAAACAAAACAAAAACACGTATTTAAAAATTGTAGTTCTCTATAAAATTTAGCACACAAAATATAGCTTTTCTTTGATACTGTAGGTCAAATCTACCCTAATAATTCAATAACAAATTATAAACCCTTTTTAAGGGAAAGGATTATGTACAAACCACTGGCCTTGCAAGTAAAACAAGTACAATCCAGTATACTTACAATGAGTTAACAACTTTTCATTTTTAATCCAAACTTTTACAGGTCAACACTCAAAATCAATGAACTCAAAATCTTTTAACACAATTGCTTTATTACAGATACCTAGGAGAACATTTAGAATGGTTTCACGCTAATAACTGACCAAAGTTAAAACAATTATTCCAAAGGAGCAAAAAAAAAAAACACTATTAGAAATAAATGCAAAAGTGATATGAATATGAAAGACGCCATGAAAAAATGTGTACATATTAACTATTTTTACCATTTTATCTAAGCATTTAACTGGACACAAAAGTTTGAGTATTGAGTGCACACATCATGCTGTCA